GTGTGCGTGGTTTCTAGTGAGAAGTTCCCTTTTTACAGATATAACTTTAATTGAAGAAATGTTACAAATCAGAGAACATTTCATAGTTATTTAATATTGATGTATCATATAGCCATTAATGAATAATTGGAAACTCTATTAGCAACCCCTCTGGGGATAATACCAGTCCCAAGCCCGGATAAAGAAGGAGGGTTTGGAATGGGGTTAGTGATCCTATCCCGTAGAAAAATAAATTGCTGAAAAAATAATTCAAATCATTTAAACTCTGCCATGAAAGTTAGAAGGTCTTCATTTAGAAGAGTTTTGACGCCGCATGGTGAAAGCCGAGTTCCTTCGGAAGTCACGAGGCTGATTTCTCTTGTGAAAATCAAAGTAACCATTAATTTAGGTACATGGAATGCTCGTACAATATGGGAGACTGAGAGAGTCATTCATATTGCTGCAGAAATGAAAAGATACAACCTGGATGTGCTTGGAATCAGTGAAATACATTGGACGCAAGTTGGAAAATAAACACTAGCTTCAAGGGAGCTGCTGTTATACTCTGTATAACTGAAATGATACTAGTCACGAATCCATACTAGAACGGTAGAAATCCACGTTAAAGCCTATCTCTAATGAACATATAATTCTTATCTAGCTCAATGTTTATGACAGTTATTTTAGGCTAGAAATAACTTTTGTCATCGACTGATGGTAATTAAAGAAATATACTAATATAAAGTAAATGATTACTATTCCTTAATTTGCACAGTTGAATCCACTATGCGGTGATATTATCTTCAAGTAGTATTTTAATTCTGTAAAACACATTTGGAGAATGCTGATCGGCAGCCTATGCTCCATTGGGAGTAACAAGCGTAAGTAAAACACATTTAAGAGCAATGATGAAGCGTTATTCCCGGTAAAGCTGAAACAACAGTAAAGTCAAATTCTGACGATTTATTCAAATATCAAAGCTTCTATTCTACAACTTTGTAAAAGTTACAAAATTAAATTTCACTTTTAAATTCGCTTTGATGGACAAGGTAACCCGTCTAACCTCCTAATGTATTTCAGCTCTCTTTTTAAAATCTTACAACTGAACATTAATTCATTAACGTGGTTCATAGATTTCCTTACTCGTAAATGTTTTAGCCAAAGAGAAAATAAATGCATTGTTATTCATGAATTAAATATTATTACTGCCATGACTAGATAGATTAAAGCTGTGAACCGCGTGTGGAGAAATTCGAACATTTCACTTCTACCTGAAGTTTATGCTGATGATGTCGTTCAGAAGAACGATGAAAGCCCCACAATCAAACAATCCAACTCAAGGAACAAATCTTCATCAAGATTAAACAGCTTTTGTTCCTGAAGATTTATGACAGATAATCATATATTTTAAGTATAACAGTAATCAAATACTTGATATTGATTAGAGCGATTATTGTTTCTATTTTCATTTGAATTAGTCAAGTTAATGACACGAATTATAAGAATATATGTATGCTTGCATTCAACATTTGACGTAAAATAATCATTGCACAACTTAAAGTACTTTTTAATGCGCCCCCAAATGCCATGGTACGTCTGAGAGTGAGGAGAGTCAGTTCGCCCTCTCAAAATGCTCTCACATAACCACATGTATATAGTCTCTGCCAGGGAAGTCCTATGCACTGCCTTCTCATGATAGGGGTGTTAGTTATGAAATTGAGGGGACGATATGCGAATGTCCGGTGCTTTAATCAGGTTGGTAGATACAGGGAGTACACCTGGTGTAGTTGGGATTCCAAACCAATGGTGCATATGGGCTTTAGGATCGTGAAGGAAGAAATGGCGTATAAACTAATCGTCGATCACCGGCTTCCATGGGACTGAATCTCCTTACGATGCTCCACTGTCTTGTGGATCAGACCCATGGGTTGAAGGCTCCGGGTGTGCTGACTAGGAAACCCACCTACTTTGGTTTGGGCACCCGGGCAGTACCACACTCCTCACACAAATCAAATGAGATTTGTGTGGCGCATATGTGTTTGGTGCCCACTTGTACCAATATTTATGTGTTCAAATAAGTAAATAAATAATAAATACTTTTTCATACAATGTAAACTAGTCTTATTGTTGTTTGTTTCTCAAATTTCATTCATCTTCTTCTTGATCATCAAACCTCATCAGTAACACAGAGAAATTGATATATTGATCAATTTAGCCAATATATCAGTAATTCAAGTGAATGATACTTAAAGCCTTCTTAATCAATAATATTGGACAGGATGGTGTTTGGTATCATTTTGTTGTTTCCATTACTATTAAAATTTGCCATGACATCTTTAATTTATGAGGAACAGGTCATATCAGATTATAATAATATCTAATAGTAATTTGATGAAAAAACATTAGAATTTACGGTGAGACTATAATTTATGGAGGACTTTTGGGCGATCCTAAAGTGACATTGAGAGTGTTCAGTTGATGGTAAGGCTTAGAGAATTAGATTTATAGTTTTCATCCCAAACTGACATGAGCTATAATACCAAAACTCTATATATCCAAATGGATAAGTGAATTTCGCGCCAGAATTTGGGACCTGTTATCTTATATCTGATTGGTTTGTCCACAAATTATAGTCTTGCCAAATTTTCAATCGTGCCTACTACATTGATTCAAATAGTCAATACACACAGCTATAAATGATTTATACTTGAGACAACTGTTATTATTATTATTCATGACTTTGTTCAATATTGTATTTATTCCATTTGATTAGAATATTAGCATATCGGTCATGCCTATAGATAAATACTATTACAAAGATACTCACTAGTCAATAGGCATAATACTGATTGATACAATCTAGTTTCTCTTTATCATGATTGTTCACATATGCGCATGTCATCGTATTAAAATTTCATACCATCATATAAATGAAAACTGTCATTGAGTTACTACGGCTATGTGACATTGTTCCACATTGTCACTACTTACTCTGAGTTTATAAAAACTACTGGATTAGTTGAAGCTAGACATTAACACCGTTGGATGCCGACCGGCTCACAGGTCTGGTTGGTTAAGCGCCTGACGTGAGACTGATAGATCCCAAGTTCGAATCTCGCGAGGCGGGGTCGTGGATGCACACTGCTGAGGAGTCCCACAATAGGATGAAACGGTCATCCAGTGCTTCCATGTTTTCCATGGTGGTCTAGCTTCAATTGACACATGATCTCAACTGTTGATATTAATCTTTGTTCGAACATTAAATTGTACCATATTACTTTATTTTACATTGATTACTGACGATTCAAAGGAATAAATAATCCTCTGTAAGTAAATGTCATTTCTAAATCTAATACTCAACGCAATGATATCAAATGATAATATATCAATAAGCATTGAGATGGTGGTGAAGATTTGTAGCTCAAGTGGATGATTTTGATGAGGTTTTGTTCTCTGAGCTGGATGAATGCTCCACGATTAGACCATCTGGCTTAGAGAACAAAACTCCATCAAAACCAATTAGCATTAAAATACCTAACAACAAGGGGTAAATATAATTAATCTCTTTGAATTTCAGTGATTGAAGTTATTTAAAGTTGATGAACAAAAACACCATCTAAGACATTCAATACCTTTAATCTTGTATAGTGAGTAATTCAAATGAAGGTTTATCTAATGTTCACATGTATGAAAAATAAATAAAACCTTAGTTTACAACCGTGTTTGGATCTTATTATGGAACATATTTTCCTACTAGTTGCTTGAAGGTTTATTTCTTAAAGCTGACCAAATTAAATGATCCAGATTGTAATGTAGTTGCTAGTCAAAGTGACTTGATGTTATATACATCATGTTTTCACGTTCGGTGTCCGATATAACCATGGTGTTAGCCACTAGTAAGTGATCAATCATTAAAAAACATCTCTGTTCTACAGGAGGTCATTCACAACCTGAGTAGATCAGTAGTAACATCTAAGATTAAAACACTGGGTGATTACGGTTCGAATCACATAGGGAGCATCAAGTTCCTTAAGGCCACATATAAAAATTACTGAAAACTGTTAGCTTGCACAAAAAAAGGTGTAAGTTTCTTTGCACATGACCTCCAAACTCCATCTTGCATCTCAACATATTGCATGAAGCAACAAGTTAGTTAGACTAGTACCTAAAATTTCATTTGATCCATTGAATACGATCAACACCATGGATTGGACCAACTCTCAGTAAACAATTAATTTACATTCTTTTCGACACAAGATTTCGACAATATAAACAAACAAAAAGTAGCGCATGAAAGTTTTCGTTAAAGTAAAACACAAGTTGTAAAATCATTAAAGTTTATATTACATATACAAGTTACAAATTCCAGAATGTTATGTCCCGATAAGTATAATAAATGGTAACTTTCAGGATCCATTTATGGACAAGTACTATGAGTGTATTTTTATCGTATAATTGTTAAATAACCACCATCTTAAATAACTAAACTATACATATTTATGTCCCTATTATTACGAGCTTTATTTTGACCTATGAACTATTATTATGCGATTTACCATTCTTGAATTATGCCCTGTTTATTAATTACTACCTCCCTCATTCACAGCCACATTTGGCTAATTCTTGTACAAATGTTGTTTTCTATTTTATGGTACGATGTAGTCTGTCTGGTTGGTATATAAACCTAGAATGCTTGAAATACAGGATTCATATTGCAGAGGCTGAGATTAGTGTCCTGGACTTAACTAGTTGGGCTAGATGGTAAGCAGAACCGATAAGTACACTAGACTGCTCTCACGGGTTTATGCGTCACTGTTCCAATCAATAAGTCACTGCTCTCTAATTGGCAGTATCATTACGTCATACATTAACAGGGCAAACACGCTACAAGTTATAACACAGGACAAACCTACTACTTTTAGAATGTTAAGTTAGAACTTAAAAGTGTATAGAACATTAAGTTTATCATGTAAATACATCTTGAAATACATTAGATATAACATAAATTTATAATAACTAACCTGTACATCTAATGGGAAATCATTTAATTCTAAAGTTTCTAAAAATACACCTTTAATACGTCTACGTTCCATTAAGTAAACTTCACCATATTCATTTCGTACAGCCATTATCCATTGAGTATCTTTTGTTTCACTTAATATATTATCAATATACAATAAAGGATTCCAATATTGTTCCAATTCAGTAATACTTAATTCCTAAAATAGTAAACAAAAAAGAACATATAGTGGACAGACTAAAATATTGCGAAACGTGGTCATTAAGATTAGAAGAAAAGACTAGGAGAAAGCTAAATATTTAGTTTCTTTCTCCGTTTATCAAATGTATTTTAAAATCAAGTTCATTTCTTAATAGTTCAGTCAAGATTTGTAGTGTTATGTTAAGCCCATATAACTTATTTTAGGTTATGGATAGGCCAATTTATCCATTCTTCTTGAGTCACGTTTTAACCTTGTTAATTATTCACTTATTAACCAAGACTGTTTTTATATTACCATACGTATATGTACACTTCTTATCCTATTCATCACATGTTTGTAGCTTATTTTTGTGACTAAGTGGAGTTGGCTCACACACTTCTTCGTCATTTTGCTTCGCTCTCTCTGCTTCCCTCCCTTCACTACGTCCCTCTGATTATCTGTCGAAATCAGTGATTTTACGAAATACACGTATTCGAAGATCCATTCTCATATTCGACTTATTTAATTACATCACTCACTAACGCGACCTAAGTTGATAAGTATATACGAGGATTGACGATATATATATATATATTGACATCAATCAAACGAGTCAAATATAAGGCCACTAAATACTAATTAATGTTAGTCCCTCTACTAACAGTATAGCTATGTGATATGAGTTTAAGTCCCACAGACATATACAGAGATATCTGACACATATGTTACACAAAGAATAAAAAAACTGAGCCTCCTTTATGAGATGATTTCTTAAGATCAACATATTCTAAAGATCAGTGATATAATTTATTATGAAATGCCTAAGCAGTTTTTCTGAGGCCTTTAAAATAATTTGATATTTAATATCACTTGATGGTTAAGATTGCTTTCAGTATATTTTAATATAAATATATTTATCGGCTCTAGTAAATTACCATGACTTGACATCGAAGAATTATTTTAGTTAAGCTGCGTGCGATAGTCAGAAAAAGAAACTGAACCAACATCTTTTTATACCATGGAACTCCTCAGCAGTGCCTATACATAACTTTCAAGCCTTCATATCAGCGTCTACTTATTCAAACCGATTTGGATTTCATAAGTCTACATTTTCGATTATTGATTGCATCAATTGATTACAGCAATCTGACTGTTGATATAGTTGAGACTTCAGACATTCTTCTCGAATTAATTCATTACTGAACTGTAAATTACCATAATGGTAAATGTACGGAGGTTACTCAATTGAAATATAGTTTACATCAGAAAGTGATTTTAACTAAAAAATAATTACTGTTGTGCTAGTGATATAAGTAATACATTGGGATGCACAATATACGGACGACGTGTCTGTGAATATGGTAACTATTATTATTATTATTATTATTATTATTATTATTATTATTATTATTATTATTATTACTTCAATAGTTGAGATCATGAGTCAATTGAAGCTAGATCACCATGGAAAACGCAGAAGCACTGGATGACCGTTTCGTCCTACTGTGAGACTCTTCAGCAGTGCGCATACACGACCCTGACTCGCGGGACTCCAACCCAAGACCTACTGGTTTCGCGGTTAAGCGCCTAACCACTAAACCACTGAGCCGGCCGGCATCCAAAGGTGTTAATGTCTAACTTCAACCAATCCACGAAATTGAGTAACATTATTTTTATTATTGGCTTTATTCAATATCAAGTTTTGGTACAATACAGAATCCTCAACACAATATATTTCAACAAGTTCATTTTACAAAAACAAAAAAATGAAAACAGAAGAGAAAAAGGTGAACAAAAGTTTTGAATCTGTGCAACTTTTCCATTAGAGACATGTTTAAGAAAATAGGTTATTTATCGACTAGGTTAACTGTAACAACCTGTTCGTCACAGAGTTTATTTGCTAGATAGGATATTATAGAACTTTTATACATTAGCTTGCATGAATGGATTTTAATGTAATAACTTCTCGTTCTAATAGGAGATATACAAGGAGAAAGATATGAATGAAGGGGATGGTTACGATAATACCTGTCAGGAGTTGACAAGATTTGAGATGTCTATCCACAACCCTATTAATAATCACCTTAAAACATTCACCAAACACCTCACTAACTACCTTCAGAACTCTTCGCAAAGCCCAGGAAAGAACAATGGAGAACAGTAAACAATAATAGGTAATATGCAGGAACTGACAAATTATAAGAGTAAATGTCAAGTAATCCCAAATGCATTCAGTCTCTTTATGTAGTAAGTCAGACGGAAAACTTTCTTCGATAATAGTAAAACATGAGAAGACCAAGGGCGAACAGAGGAAAAGATAACACCAAGATAATTGACATTCAACACTGTTTTTATCAAATAGTCTGGAATGGTATAATCATTATTGGACCCTAACATGGTGTTTAAGTGCTGTTCATGTTTCAGGCTAAAGTTAACAGCTCGACATTTAGATAGATTGAATATGAGTCCATTAACAACAGACCATCATTCAATACAACAAAAAAACTCATTCATCTCTTTGGGATGTAAAGGGGTAGAAATTGGCATATATACAATGAGATCGTCCGCATATTTCATAAAAGTGTTTTCTTCAGAAGAGAGCAGATCATGCAGAAAAAAAAAGAGAAAACAAAGAAATGCAAGAACAGCTCCTTGTGTCACACCTTCATGAGACAATAGAAACGTTGAATAAAATAAGATAGACAAATGTTAATTTATCGATTTTACATATCATTAAAATTATCAATATAATCACTCTAATCATTAACTTACTTCAGCTGTATGTCCATCAAGTTTTGGTTCTCTCCATTTGGCTTGAAGAAATGCATCAGCATAATATAATTCTTTCAATGTATCAATTTCACCAATTTTTAAAAATACTACACGTACTTCAACAGCAACCTGATGAGAGAGATATGAAAAGAACAGAAAAGAGAGAAAAGATTTTGTATACTAACTATTACTATCTGTTTACATTGTCTATCGTTAATCAGTATCATTATTACTGTTTATAAATGAATGAATATGTTGAGAGGTCATACAGAACAAGTTACTTTGTTTCCAGTTGATGTAAATAGTAAACTTTAGAAAACAATTTAATTAAAAAGCTTTTACATTAACCATAAAACATGTTTATATTAAGTTACTTTATTATTAATAATATGTGAAATACATTGACTTTATACAATAAGCCAAACACTATCAGCAGCAATATACTATGGGAAAGAACAAACCAGATCCAAGCAGAGGTAGAGATCAAGAAGAATCTCTGGAAGTGGATAAGACATACATTGAAGAAAACATTCAACTGAGTCACAAGGCAAGCCTTCAATTGGAATCCTCAAGGTCAAGGGAGAACTGAGAGAACAAAGAACACATTACTTTGAGAAATGGAGACAGACATGAAAACAATGAAAAAACCATTGGATAGAACTAGAAAGGAAGTCTGAGGACAAAGTGGGTTGGAGAATGCTGGACAGCGACATATGTTCAATTGGAAGTAACAGGTGCAAGTAAGGTTAGTAAGTAATAAAGCGATAAGAAATACGATTTACAAAATGAAACGTCGACATTATAAACATGTAAGAAACATTTGAAATTATATGATTCAAAAAAGGTATAAGTAAAACTCCTACAAAAGGATACTAGAGATGGAAGATTAGCGTTACTTAATTCTGTTCTAGATCGTTTTATGATAATACCTAAATGTTTCGAACCTGAATACTTCAGTGTACCAAGTGATTTAGCCAAAATGTTTTGGACGACAATTCTGTTCATGAGATGGTGGAGAAGATTTGTAGCTCAGGTGGATGATTTTGGTGGAGTTTTGTTCTCTGAGCTGGATGGTTTGGTCGTGGAGAACGATGAAAGCTCCACGACCAAACCATCCAGCTCAGAGAACAAAACTCCACCAAAATTCTGTTCATGCTCAAACTAAATATGTAGATAATGACGAGCCAAAAACCAACATTAAACGATTAAAATCAAGGTCAAAAGATAAAAGGTATCAGTCAAATGTGGAAACATTTAGTTAGTCTTATTCTATCTGAAGACGTTTTTGTTGACAATAAAAGCTTAAAGGCTAAAGTACCGTGCTCAGAAGACGAAAATCCACCAGCAAGTCAGTGAACAGTAATAAATCTCAGATGATTGCATAACTTACTGTTATTTATTCCACTGAGCTTATAAACCAGTATGTACGTTCATTACTAAAGTTCACTTTAAAAGCATCTACAAAGGAATAAATTAATAATCCCAAAGTATTCTTATTCAAAGTTCAACATGATCCATCTAAGCAGCTAATTAGTACCTAAATCTTAAATAAATACTTATCATCTGTGGTACATAGGGTACATAGTCTAGGCATTCCCCGTTAAAAATTATTTATAACTCATAGGACAGCTTCATCACATGGGCACTGCCGAAGAGTACCACAATAGGACAAAATAGCCGTCTAGTGTTTTCAGGTTTTCAATGGTAGTTTAGCTACAATCGACTCATGATCTCAAACATTAAAATTACATTTTAATTATGTTTAATGCTGAGAGTAATATGCATGTGTTATTTAACTATAGGATTCAGTATGTATTGAAACAAATGAGTTGTTCACATAGGTTCTCATTCATTCAAACAGTATAAAATGAGTCTATAAGTATTTGTATCTTTATACTTATCTAAAAAAATGGAATTGGTATGTGGGCAACCTGAGCGGATCACTCCGATATTGTCAGATATTCACGAGTCCCTATATGAACATCACCATCATGATGCAGATAAATCCAGCTAACGAGTTTCGAACAGGACGAAACCTACTTTTTATATTCTACAACTAACCACTTTTCTACCTAACTACATACATACTAATTTAACGATGAGTAGAGTTTAAATTATTATCAGTATAGGGTTGTGGAGATTAATTTTTTTTATTGTAATCATGAACTGATTGATATTAGACTACCATTGAAAACCTGGAAGCAGTGGATGGGAATTATCGGAGTTCTAGTAAAAAGCCCTGACGAATGAGGCTAATCCGTTTCGGTTAGAAACAGGTATCTACCTCAGTATAATCGAAAATGGTAGCGCAGTTTCGAAGATTGATTGAGGTTAGACAATAACACCGTTGGACGCCAACTCAGTAGTCTAGAGGTTAAGTGTTGGAATACCGCGATGAGGGACCGTAGATGCACACTGCTGAAGAGTCCCACAATAGGACGAAACGGTCGTTCAATGCTTCCAGGTTTTCAATAGTGGTCTAACATCAATCAGTTCATGATCTGAATTATTAATTAGATTAAACGTAGATTCTGATTTCTCAATAACAGATCAAACAATCAAATTACTTGTTTCTTTCAAATCCCATACAACATTGTTTGTCGTTAACGAATGAAGCATGTTTAAAGTGTTTTACACTTGCATAAAATTAACACGTTTTTTTAATGATCCACTTTACATTGTTCATTGAAATTCACATACAAAGCTTAGACTTCATCCATTTAATCAAATAAAAACAGATTTATACAGAATGTAAACAACAACAACAACAAAAGAAGAGAAAAAGTAATCCCATCGTACATAAAATGTGTTTTAAGAGTTTTTCTTTTATCAGTGGGTAACTAGGAGATAATTAAAATGATCCTATATATGTCATGAATAAAATAAATTGGATCCGAATAGCATGTTAAATACAAAGGAAATGATTTGAAATTACTAAACAGGTTTTAATTATAGGTCTGGGCAACCTGAACATTTGGGTGTGTTAAAAACGGTAAGTGGAAATGGAAATTTCATCATTTTTTTAGGATAATGAAAAAGATTTGTTGTGCAAGAAGAGAATTTGTCCTTGGACTTAGTTTATGAAGTTAATGGGTGTTGGTCTGAGCCTTATAGGTAAATCCAGACAAACAGAGTGATGATCCGTAATGTCGGGATACCAACCCAACCTATCGACGTCAAAGTGTTCTTCTACTGAATCTTTCATTTGATTCAAGAACACTCTGCTGAGAAAGTTTCCTGGTACTTGCAGTAGTGTAATGTCTCTGTAGTTCGTACACTTTCTGAGATCTCTTTTCTTTGGTGTGTTGACGAGGTATCCTTCTTTCTGGTTGATCGGCACTGTTATGAACGGGGAATTAAGAAGCCCAGACAATCACGAAAGCTATTTTCTTGGGACGTTATTACATTTCATTCAAACCCTGTAAAACACTTATATTTATTTTTGTCCCTATCTTATTCTACATAACACGAGCTTTCGTTCTATGTATCATTCACTAGCATACTCTTTTTGGTTCCGAAAATATTGTAATTTAAACATAATATTTTGCACTGTATTTTCTACCCTAATTCCCTGTTTCGGGCATAACTGTATTTTCCCAAATTATTGTACGTCGTAGTCAAGATATTCACTTATTTATTCATGTACATTTTTGTATTAATCCGAATTCAGATAATTCAGAGTTCAGTGTTCCAACTGTCTTGTCTTCTCTCACTTGCGTGCTTGCCAACCAATCAGGTTCTAGAATAGTTATCTCTCCACCCCAACTCGAACTCACGCGTGATAGACTTCAAGGTTAAGCCGCTCACCCTATCGCGTCAAGGTCATAGTTAAATCTAGACAGATCAAGGTGAAGTCATAACCAGTATCACGGGGTAAAGCGACTCAAGGTCATAACAGGCACTTATTCTTTTTCCCAATTCTACCTCAATAAAATGTGGAGCCTCTTTGCAGTTATTTCTATGTCTGAATTCAGTGCTTCAGCTGGTATGGATATGCTGATTTCTTCGATTGTTAGTGAAGTGACGGCTATTGGAAGTCTGTGTGTGTTGCTTCGATGTCCCGTGGGTTCAATGAGGCTGGTTTATTCAAGAGCTTTTAAAAGCGTTCTAATATGTAGTTCTACTGCTTTTAAATTCCAGTGATGGGCTTGAGTCCTTTGTCCTTGACTGGTCGCCCAGCCCTGCTAGTTTCTTCGCTGTATCATATGGGTGTTTCATATTTCCCTTTGTTGCAGCTTTTTTCTCTGTCATTACTAGGTCTTCCACGTATTTCTGCTTGTTAGCTTCAATGTACTTGTTCAACTGCTTATTCGCTTCTGTGTGTTTGGTCTGTGGAATGACTTTCTCTGTTCTGGTTCGACTGTTGTTAATTGCTGCCTTCTTTTTTTCCTTTCTTGAATCTTTTCCAGGGTTTCCACAGAGAACTATTCCTTATGATGATGCTTCTTATGACCCAGAACCTCCTGACACATTGAAGTTAGTGCTTCTTTAATCCATTTAAAGTTGTGCTTCATGGTAGTTTCTTCTTCTAGTAGGTTTTGTAAGGTTTAAAAGCTATTGCTAAGATCTCTTGAATTCGTAGAACTTATCATTATCTCGAAAGAAGGCTGTACTGAACTTTTGTAATATTGTTTCTTTATTTATCCAATACTTCTTTATCATCAGTTTTAACTTGACTACAAACAAGTGATGATCTAAAACTACGTCAGCTTTTCTCTTGGTTTTCATGTCTCCCATTGATGTTCTGAATTTATTTTTTTTGAGATAAAAAACTATCATGAAAACCATTCAGACTAAAAAAATGAAATTTTTCGAAAATCTATTTATATCTTTTACTTGACAACAGTGGTAAACTTAAGTTGATCTTAAGGAGAATTCATAGTATTTTATCACTGTCATACCTTCAATAACAGAATGAAGTGAGTAATTATAAATGGTTTGAGAGATCATCATCCAAAGGGGTTTTTTTGGAGATTTTAGAAATTTCAATAGTTGAAATCATGAATCAATTGTAGCTAGACCACCATTCAAAACCTGGATGGACGAAGCGGTCATCAAGTGCTTCCAAGTTTTTCATGGTGGTCTAGCTTCAATTGACTCATAAGATCATCATCTATTGAAATGTGTCT